CCTTAGATTTCGCCTTTTTCCCGGTGCCAAGGTGGGTCTCACTCCGGCGGCTCTTCGGCGTCTAGGCGGTGGCAGGCTTCCGACGAGGTTGAGAGAGTTGGTTGTGGCTCCAATCATCCCTCGGTGGTGGTCGGGGCTGAGATCTGTGCCGTTCCACTCTCTTCCTCTCTCCCGCTCTTCTCTTCCATAGGTGCCGTTTGGGTGCTTTTGGTGGAGATGGTTTGGGTCTGGTCGTGTGGCCTGGATTCGGATCGTTGGGAGCTGAGAAGTAGAGTATGTTGTTATTCTCCGGTTGCGGGTTATTGGGTGGGCTACCCGGTGAGGGGTCGGGTCCTTTGTCTCAGATCTGGTTAGGCGATGTTTCTGCAGTTTCTGGCTTTGTGGCTTGGGCCAAGTCTCTGGCCGTGTGGGTGGTCGCTTAGGGGTGTCGATATCGTTGGTGTTCTCTTTGGTTTTGCTGTTGTGGGAAGGGCTTTCGTTTATTTTATTTTGTGTTTTTTTAGTTGTGTTTGTGTTTTGTGCGTGTTTTTGTTTTGTTGAATGTGTTATTTATTACCCTGTGGGGGTTGTGTTATTCTCCTTTGGGGAGTTTGTGTATTCTCTTGTGGGGAGTTTTTATTTTTATTTTTAGTTTTGTGGTGTGTGTTGTAGATTCTAGACTGCCTAGTGTAGTCCTCCGATTCCGGCTATTCAGTCGGCTGTAATTATGTCTTTTAATTCAATGAATCTATCGTTTCGAAAAAAAAAAAAAATTATTTTTAAATTTTTTTTTAATAGTAACTAATAAGTATAGGATATTAAGGGGAAAATCCAGAGAATGTGGAAAATAACTTTGGGGATTTTATGGGTGGGGGAAAAACAGTCTAATATACTTAGACGAATCGAGTAGCCTGTTGGCTCGACACAATTTTCAGTTTAACTCGATTAAATCTCGAAATCAACTTGTAGTTCCAAATCCATGGCTACCCACAATTTTCAGTTTAACTCGATTAAATCTCGAAATCAACTTGTAGTTCCAAATCCATGGCTATATTTGAATTAGTTAGGAATGTGTAAAATTGGTGAATTGAACTTGATTTGAAAGTTATTGCAATTTTNTCAACAATTTGGTCTCATATTTGGGTCTCCATCGGACGGCAACGAGGGGATGACGTGCTAACCAACCAGCTATTTCCACCTGTACAACTACTCATCGGCGACCGGCTATTACCTCCAACTATCCACTCCTAGGTAAATGAAAAATCGAAAAATGCACCTTCCCGCAGCTATTCATACTTTTGCTCCAATCAACTAGTTCCGCTCTTCATCTTCAATACTGCTTGAATATTTAAATTAAAACCATAGTGTGAGTAAATGTTTGTACAGTGGAAATGTAATCTCGTACCGCTCTTCATCTTCAATCACTCTATTATCTTCAACACAGGATAAATGTTTTCATGAAAATCAAGCATTTTTGTATCATTGACCTCTTACAAAATATTTTTTATGAATTATCTGCTAACATTTGTAAAGTTTGTGCTACATTGAATGATAAAAGGAGGTTTAAAGTTTAAACAAACAAAATCTCTTCTGTGAAAGAGTGCAGATGTGTTACATTGAATGATAAAAGGAGGTTTAAACAAACAAAATCTTAATAACAAAAAAATTTCCCGCTCAATTAATAAAAATCCCAAAGAAGAAGATATCAAACCTTAACATTTCATAAACGTTACTGAACTCGAGCTTCTAATCATCAACCTAGGTTGGAATTGTAGTCGAGAACCAATTATTGTCATCCTACAGAAGAATTATTTATTCTAACTACTTTCTCGCATAAGTTCACTCCAATTAAGACCAACAAAAGAATACTCCGATTGAATATATAAGTTTTCACAGGAAATGCAGGAAACAAGAATGAAACCCACCACTCATGAATGGCAATTTCATGTTCAAAACAGCTTATACGCATAAACCCAACGACACAAGCACACACACTTCACAAAACACAAGTAAACTATGCAAAGTCACAGACCCACAAAACATTCCCAATAGAGTGACAAATTGTTTTATTTTCTTTATTGACAAGTATGAGAAAAGATACAAATATGAGCAAAAAAAGGGAACAATATTCTTCATAATCAGTCCCAAAATCATCATTCTAGATTGTGAACTTTGTTCATTCAATACACAAACATAAATGTAAAGATATACACATAAAAGACTCTAATTGCAACCAAAGTTAATTTTTATTATGGTGTTTCAATATACAGACAAAAACACAGACATACACATCGTGTGTGTGTATTTTTCCACAGGACATATCATGTTTATTATGGAAAATTTGTTAGATGTATTAAAAACAAACCTACCATAATTTGTTATTCAAACAGAAGTTTTGCTCTCTTCTTCAGTGTCTTCTTAACCTGAAAAACTCAACAATCTTTAAATCATGCACCAAAAATCATAAACATAATATAAATCTATTTGAGAGAATGTTGGAAAACAAACAATGGTTATTTCAGATTGATATGGTCGTAAGTAGCGGTTCATGAAGGATCGGTTGTGATCCGGGTTTTAGTCCAGCCAGCTAGGCAGGGTTTGTGGTACCTCTGGAGTAGAGGGGTGCTAGGCGGAGCCTACCTCAATGTGAGCTAGGCGGAGTACTAAGAGTGATGAGCTAGGTGGAGGTAGTCGGCCAGGTAACTGGCACCTCGGTAGCTAGGCGCCTCGGCCAGAGGGCCTTGTCGAGGAGACTAGAGCCCGGAGGTAGTCGTGTGCTCAAGTCATGAAGAGGTTCACAACCTCAAGGACTCTCAAGATTCGGGGATATCTTGACCTGATTGAGAGATACACATGGGAAAAACTTCTTGTGTCATGAGGAGTCTTCAACTTCACCTATAAAAGGGCACAGGTTTATTCATTTTACACAACACACATACACATATTATCTCGTTACTCTGCCGCTTTCTCTCCGAAAGACCACCACTGACTTGAGCGTCGGAGTGTCCACGCCGGGACCACCCCGGCGTGTTTTGCAGGTACCGACGATCGAGGAAGCGCAATCCAGTTCGAGAGGGGCGGTCGAGCGGTTCAGGTATTTGTGGTAATAACACAGATCAATGTATCAAATTATTTAAGATCAATATGCAATGTACATGAAGCTGGAAACCAATAATACATGTTTCTATAAATCTTGAAATTTTACTTTTTTGGTGGACAACATTCTTAGAAAAAGATTCATAACAAATTACATTAAAATGTCCATAAATGATATATCAAATCGGAAACATAACAAAATTTAAATAATTATTAATTCAAATATGAATACAAATACCCAACATTTGCAGATCTATTTATGGTTAAAACTAGTGTATACCCCGTGCGATGCACGGGAACAATATTAAATTAACAATATTATAAATTGACCTCGAGTTTGAGTCACTCAATGCCGGAAGTGGAAATTACTATTGATCCTATTTAAAAAGAGAAAAAAAAAATAATTATATATTAAAAAGGAGGATAAACAATACTTAATAATTATAAATTAAAGATTTGAGGTCAAACAATGTAAAATTATTTTGTATAAGAGAATATAAAAAAAATTGATTACACACCATTTCAAAATTATTATTATACTTTTTTGTATGGTTAGCTTATAATATTTGTAAAAATATTAGTAATTAGACCGATGAAAATTAGCTTCTAAAGTAGATAATGGATTTCTAGTAGTAATTATGAATTGGTTTCTATTTTATTTATTTATTTTTTAAAGATAATGGATTTCTAGTAGTAATTATGAATTGGTTTATATTTTATTTTAATTTTTCAAATCTGTATAGATAATGGATGAGATTTTTTAAACCCACGTATGCAATGAGAATTTGTAACAGAAGAGATAAGCTCGTGTAGATTTATACTAAAATTAGGAAAAGAAAAATAAATATTTATTGTCAAACAACGGTTTTGATAAACAAAAGCCAGTAAAAAAGAGAAACAAATCTTTACACAATTAATGAGCCGATTTTTTTGTCTATTCAAATTTGTCCAACAATTACTATATGTAGGATATATTTAATGATTTTGACAGGAAAAAGTTTCTAAATGTTTGAAAAGGTTATTCTTTTTATATAATGATAGATATGAACTAATTCAATTATTTGAATAAGAAACAAACTTTTGATAATCATTGTTCATGGAAAAAGTCAATAGAATGCGCGTCAAAGAGGAGAGTTTATATTTCATAACAAGAGAGTGAAAACAAAAATGGAACGTGTTGTTAAACGAGGACAATACGAATTAAAGACGAGAAAGTAAATAACACAAGATTTACGTGGTTCGGCAATGTGCCTACGTCCACGGCAGAGCAGTGATCTTATTATTCACGATAATCCCAAATACATCAATACACAATGTATTTATATCATAAGCCTACAAGGTATCATAACCCTGCTTGTTCCACTCGCTCCGCTCGGTCGCTCCGTTTCCCTCGCTCTACTCGGACACTCCGCTCCCTCGATAAGCTCGCTCCACTCGCAGGCATCAGCCTGCCCCCTTCTTTTGTCAATATATGAGCCATATCAACAGAACGGAAAAAGTACCGTTCTCAAGGTCAGAGATGGGTACGGTTCCGAAGTTGCGCCGGAGATGTCACCTATGTACCCCCCAGATCGATCCTTGACGACAAAAATGAAGCTGGAATCGAGATTTCTGTTCTTGGGGCTAGGGTTCGTTAAATGCCGTGCTGCGATATGAAGATGGAAGATCGAAATTTTGATTATATATTGGCAAGGTAGTAATTTGTGTATTAGGGAGGGCCAAAATGGTCCGAAAAAGATATAAATGAGGGTAAATTAGACTTTACATTTGGCAGGATTGGTTTAATCTAGAGGTGGCCAGTCAACGAGTCCAGGCCCAGCCCGGCCCGCCCTGGCCGAGGCCCGGTACCGAACCGGACAAAGGGGCGGTCCGGGACCGGTTCTGAGCCCGAACCCGCCGGTTGCATCTATATTTTTCATAGTTTCATTTTGTTATGTCTCAACCTCAACTCCTCAGTTATGCATGTTCTTTTTGAACAATATATCCCTTTGTTGAATTAATCTCATACTAAATTCAGTTGAAAGTATTCACGCATGCCATAATCAAGCAAAACGCGTAAAATTTCACTTTTTCAATACACACCACAAACTTGATAATCCCACTTTAAGTCAAACATCCAGCTACGTTGCAAGTCATGATCAAATAACAAGTCTAACACAAGATAGTTTTCCTAACACACAAACATCCAAAGTACAATAACAGCAACACAAACACGAAAATATCGAACAAAGTAATCTAAAAGACCGAGGCCAACTGTGCGGCCATCTTGCCGGCGCAAACAGGCCGTGTACTGTCTCTCTAAGTCCACCTGAAGCTGCTCCCGTTTCTTCTCGACATCCGGCTCGTCCAGCTTGGACTCCACCTTCGAGTCCCCCTTCACGCCCTACAATTCGCCATAGGCACCCAACCCAGCCTCAGACTCTAAAACAATGTTAGTATGTGTGGTGGGATAAACGTAAAGTTACGAGGAGCTTAATGCATATAGTTTCGTGGATTATGGGTATGTTTGGTAAACCTAGCTGATAAACTAGCTTATAGCTTTTAACTGAATTTCGTGCTTGTAGCTGATAGCTTATGACTTATGGCTGAAAAGTTAGCTTATATGATAAAAGTGATTGGTAAAATTAGTTGATAAGCTAGCTGAAATAAAAATTTCAATTGTCTGTTTTCTTTTTGAGAAATAACTGAAATGGATAAATTTTTTACCATAAAAAAACCCCAAGGAACATTATGAGATAAGCTCGTCCTATCAAACCAAACTTATTGGAATAAATTAAACTTATAAGCTAATCAAATAAGTTATAAGTTAGCTTATATGCTTACCAAACACAGCCTATATGTGGTTTAGATGGAAGTAGAGCAACGGATAAGGAAGATTACCATGAGTTTGTTGAATTTTTCTTGTCGTTCACGGTCGCCAAATGTTGTTGTGTCCCAACGGTGAGCAGGCTTGAAGGAAAACAGAAAGGAGAACATAAATCACGCGAAGCGTCTCAAATAAAAATGATAATCTACGCGGAATATAGTTGGTATGAATTCAGGTCGGGCACACTTGTAATCGATAATCAAAACCCGTTTATTTGTTTGTTTGTGTGTGTGCGTGTGGGTGTGTCTCATATCTACTTGTTATGTTCAGGAGAAAAAAAGTGCTTGTGGATAAAATGGATCTTATAAGTTATAACAATGATTTAAGGATACCTCCTCAGTAACAGTGTTCTTCTTGTTGCCCCACAAGAGCTTCTTCTTTTCATCAGCGGTCATGTATGCAGTTCCAATCAAGTTCTTGTTAACTGTGTGTTCGTTCAAACATTGCATCGAAGTTGAAGAAGTAAATTAGTCCACAAGAAATAACTAATGAGTTCATCACCACATACAAACCATCTCATGCAAAATCATGTAAAAAAAAAAAAAAAAAAAAAAAAACACGAGAGATACATTTACCTACCTAATTCAGCAGCTTTCATAGCAGCAAATTTCGCAGCATCAATATCACAATCCGTCACATAAGCCTTCTCGGAAGGAACTGTTGGACAATTCTCCAAAAATGATATCAAAACACGAAAAACAGAACAGAAAGCACATCACTACAGGAGAAAATGGAAACATACCATCTGGGCCAGCAGCAGTGCTCTCCATGCTAAAAGTCTTCCCCTACTTAGCGACAGCTTCTTCACCCTTGTTGGACATACCATCCAAATCCTCCTTTGTATCTCTATTAAATTGCACCTTATCAGGACCTGCATCCAGGCGCCTACTCTTTTCATCAACTGCATCGACTTCCTTGGAGTATCTTGAAGAGGATTCCTTTAAACGACGTCCAGAATTTTCTCTTCGTGAAGAATAATCATTTATTTGATCCCTTGACTCTTCATAAGCAGGCGAACGATCACCTTTGTAATCCATTGAACTCTTTCTATAATCCATCCTTCCATATCGGTCACTCCTATCACCTTTGTCCTTTTTCTCAATATTTGCATGCCTACTATCAGAACCAGCCCAATTATATGAGTCTTTATCCCTACTTCTATGCCCCAAACCATCAGATTTCCCACGAGAGTTAGTGTCCACATCTTTCACGTAATGTCTAGATGGGAGCTCCTTATCAGACCTCGAGTAATTTGAGTTGTTTTTATCTCGCGAGCCCTGTCTAGAATAGTAGGATGACTTGGAATAACCTCGATCATAGTCATCCACATGTCTATCAAGCCTGATGTGATCGTCATGCCTGTGATACCTCCTAGACGACTGTCGATCCTTAGTGTTATCCCTCTTTCTTTCATCATCATCATCATCAAATTTTGCTATATCCTTTCTCAATTGGACAGGACTCGAGTTGCGGTCACGTGGTGGACTTCCTGAATGCATGTAAAAGAAACTATGGGAGTAAAAGAATGGTTAATAACAATCATGATAGACAAAGATAAATGAAAAATAATTCACGAAATTAGAATTTTTGAAGAGATATTGTAAGGCATGATGACTGTTAAAAAACATATTTGCCTAATTTGCACATATAGCTGAAGCATTCCATTCATATAATCATACCACAAGGCATATAGCTCAATACACCACATAGGACACAATCCAACACACTATTCACGATTGAATGTTGAATATGGCCTTTCAATTTGTAATAGTCATCAGTTAAGTGAACTTAGTAACATCTTCAAGTACAGGCAGAAACACAATTTGGATTGCTCATTAGCATCATACAAGTTACGCAAAAAAAATTCCAGCACAATTTTTTAAGCAATACAAGGGACCAAATAAATGCTTCTAACAGCAAGTCACCATAAACCATAACCGAAGCAGAACATGAAGTTATTAATAATAATAGACTACAAAGAAACAACCAATACCAGCATTACATTCAACATACCCACAACAAACTCAAAGCTATACCAGGATTCATAAGCAGTAATTTATAAAGTTACTACCTTTCTACTTAAAAACAAAATGAACATTCCAAGGAAATTACCATCAGATGAGGACGTTGATCCAGCCACCGAAGATCTAAGCCGGTACTTCCTATTAGCCGAGCCATTCGAAGGCTTCCGAAATTCAGCCTTCGAGTTCAATTTTTCTCTCTAGCTCGAATCCATGCTCACCTAACTCAAAACCAAAGGCCTAATAAGACATAAAACCCTAATGAATAATGATTTCTATGTTCATAACGAAAATTCTAAACAATTGAACTCAGCAAAATCACAGATACATATGCCAGAAGATGAAATAAAAGAAAAAAACAAATTCATATGTAAAGCGGCAAAATCATGTACGCGTATCCACACACACATAAACACACAATTTGAGGCGTGTAATTTCAGAGATAACCTATCTTTGTCACGCGCTTTCCTTCAATTTTCAGGCCTCAACCATAGATTGAAACAAGCTTCGATTTGCGAGTTCTTAGTTCTTACAAAAGAAGGCAGAGTGAAAAAAAACCGATAGATTATTTGATTACTGAGAGCTGGGATTGTTTCTACATCATGGAATCAAGGGCTTGTCTTTGCAATGAGTAGTGATTGATGTGTAGTTAGGAGTTGATGCCTCCTTCTGATTGTAAGGCTTAGAGCCTGGTCTGTATTTCTTATAAGCCAAAACTCAGTTTTCTTTAATTTTAATATATATTCTCCCGTTTCCGACGAAAAAAAAAATAAAAATAAATAAAAAAATAAAAAAATATAATGGAGAAGGACGAAATATATATATATATATATATACTAGTTTGGCATCATGTGCACAGCCGAACCCAATTTATTGTAATTAAGCATGTAATATTCAATAAAAAAAATTGTATACAAAAACAAGTATCAAATTTGAAAAGAGTGTTGTGAATTTGTGTGACATGTTTGGAAAAACATTGTTTTATTAAAAAATAATGACCATATATTTTTAATATAAATAAAGATTTTTTTTTTTTTTTGCAATAAAGATTAGATACTACAAAAAATACAACCATTAAAGCCAAAATGAAGTGTGTTAGAGGTGAAACAAAAGTCGATTCCTAAATCGACATTAAAAATGTGTGCAACAGTAATACAAAATACAAGACTAAATTGTCCCGACTAACCATGAACCCAGACAAGGACTAAAAATTTAGTAGGCTAATTTTCTTAACTCACAAATTTGAAAGTGATAATCTCAATCTGTCTATAGGGGCCGATGAGCGTGGACACACCCCTGTAATGCCATTGTCATCCGTGAACTTTACTATGATTTTTCAGCATTTTTTTCATGTCCCTTAATCATATCAACTTTACACTGGTTGAATTGAAGGCAGGCCTTAGAGTAGTCGTTAAAATTGCTTGTAATGTGGTCTGTCCATAATTACTTTGGAATGGACTGCACATTACAAGTTTCTTTGCAAGTGTTTGTCTTTGAAAATAATATGTTGTCTATTGTTGTGAATAATTATGAAGTAAATGTAGATGGTTTCTAAAAAACGTGTTCTTTGATATGTTCTTTTTTCATCTCCAATTGGGACCTCGCCAAATTAGTTGAATCAACCAGTGTAGAATAAAAGAAACAACAAACTCAGCAACAGACCGACAAGGCTACAAAGAGACAATAGTGAAGTTAGATAATAACCACACAAACTGTCTTATCCAAACGTAACAATTCTCTCAAATATTATAATTCATCTCAAATACAATCTTCAATAAAAAGCACAGCAAACATGTGGCCATCAAATAGCATTACACTCCAAACATACAACCAGTTACATTAAAATACCATAAAAAATCTAAACACGCACCTTATTCGAAATAAGAGAAACAACAGCCTTAAACACAGAGCAAAACATGTACCTACCAAGCAACCTAAAACGAACATGAAAAAAAATATAAAAATACGATGGCACTATGTAATTAGAAGATTCATGAATACCGAATAGTATGTCTACAACCATAGTCCTAAACACCATGACGTGGGTAAATAAATCTAAAATGCACACCTGAACAATAGCTAAATTGGAGAGTAACATGGGTAAAAAAAACATTCATGGTAAAGGCATAACCAAAAGCGCAACTAACTAAATTGCACGCGAAAAAAATAGAACAATTAAGTTATAAAGAATATGGCAGTTGAATGACAACTGCAAGCCCTAGAATAACTAAACAACATGTGGAAAAAAAATTCAAACCTCGAAGCATCAATTTTAGATATATTGCAACATCTACAGGTAACCCTCAAATTATTCTGAGCTACGACTCTTTATTTATTTGCATTAGGAAATTAAACAATAAACTTACCATCATCATCGTTAATATATGTACCATCTCTGAAGACCTTTTTGTCCCTTCAAATTATTGAAAAGGAGAATCGGTTTGTCTATGTTGAACAAAGCTTCAGCTACCTTGATGTAGGTCTCTGTTTGTATCAGGTAAGACAGTTTAAAAGTGAATGTCAATAATTAAGACTTATGTAAAGTCAGACTCATTTAGGCAGGAAACTACACAATACATGACACCCATAAAAATAATAATAATAATTAAAAAAAAAATAATCAAGTACTAACCATCTTATGTTCATTTATGCACGAGATGCTGGAGTTGACAAGCAGCCAGAACCAAATACGTACAATCGTCATGGTAGCTGGATACTGAGAAATACCCCGGGTGTTCAATTCCTCTGCAAGTTTGACATAGTTTGAGTGATTACAACTTCTTGATGAAGCTATTAAAAAATAAGAAAACTGAAAATAAAAAAAGACATTACTCCAAAGACTCTTAAGAAATAGATCAAACACGGTCACGGAATAACTGAAGCGCACCTAAAGACTCTTAAGATCTGTCCCAGCAACTCACACGACCAAACCACGGTACCCAAATCATTGATAACAAAAACTATTACTAATAAAAAAAACCCACCATTCTAAATGAGACTCCAAATATGGAAACGCTGATGTGAGCCGTTGAATAAAATTCCGTACTTTATTGCACATGTTCAGCAATGCCTCAGTTAGCAATTTTCTTTTTATCTCTATTTCCAAAAAGTTCATCTTTATAAATTTCTAATGGCATCTACAACATTTTAAAAGGTTTCTAAATGACTCACACTGCAATCAGTAATAGTATTTGATAGTTTGTAGCTTATCATCAACAATAACTTCAAAAAGATTTCAGAATAAATGAGAAAATGAAGAAATTTGCTGAAAAATATATCTTACCTCTTTTCTCTCAATCTACTACTGGGAACTGGGAAGTTCAATTGGTGGGATGTTTACTGGAGTTCTCATATAGAGTCTACTTGAAGGTCCAACTGTATATGTTCCTGTATGGACATACATTGAAGGCCTTCTAGTTAATGTGGAAGGAATCAGAGGGGTGACATATATAAAGTTGCGACCTAACTATAGAAAATATCAAGTAATTTGCATTAAAATCTAAGCCAGAGCATTAAAATCTAAGTCCTCATTATGAAAACCCGACTCTCGTTTACAAATGACACAAGGACCCAAATATAAAATTCTCCAGAAATTTCAACATTTGTTTGTCGTAGAAAATAATTTCTCATGAATGACAACTACAAATTGTCTACTTGACAAAACAATTTCTCTCCCAACCAAAGTGTGCTCCTTCAAAAGAGTTGGCACCACTAAACAATGTACGGCCCCGAGTCAACCAATTTTGGAACTTTGATGACCCTTGCTAACATTTAAAGGTTAAGGGTCCTCCCAAAACTCTATCCAACTTCAGGCAGGACCTTCATTGATCTGGTAAACAAATTGTATGTTAGGAAAACAAAAACTTCACTGCTACTTTTACTGCAATTACACAAGCCAAAATCAAGTGTAATCTTTCATCTCCAAATGTTTAACAACTTTTTCTATCCATTAATCTTTAAATGGAACAATTCATAGTTTTTAACTAACAACAATTAACACTGACCTTTAATTGATTTCTACATTATTTTGAACTCAATGTCAGATGCTAAAGAGTCTTCAACCTGACAATAAGGAAACAAGAACATGAGTATGAATTTTTAAAAATGTTAATAAATTCCAGATATATAAAAAATGCACATGGAACCCTAGAATTGTGCTTGTGTTCTTATGGGAAAAAACAACAGTTGATTCCGGACGCACATAAAACAAAACACCCCAGAACCTCAGACAAAAGCTCATCCTAACGACGGCAAAAATTACAGTTGAACACATAAGAACCAGCTGCCTACACATACCTTACGATTTACGAACACCAATAAGTATTAGACGGCGCGAATAAGCAACAATCCACCTCGGCTAATTCTCCGATGTAGGTTGCGCGAACAATACACAATTCTAAAGTCAGTGAATTCTCCCTAGCAACGCGTATGTGAGAGGCATCAATTTTATCGAGTCTAAAATTTCATGTCAAATACAGTTGTACCTGTTCATATCTTGTGAGAGGCATCAATTTTATCGAGTCTAAAATTTCATGTCAAATACAGTTGTACCTGTTCATATCTTTAATCGCAAGAAAGGCCAACCGATATACGGTTCACTGTGAATTTGTGATAGGATTAAAAAAAAAAAATGAAGACCAATTTGGTATGGAGTAAAACCAGAATCTAAATCGAACCTTCTTTGTAGATGACGGAGAGTACAAAATCGGTGGCCTGAGCGGTGATATTTGGATAATCGAGCGATCCGCATCCGACCTGAGAAGATTGCTGCCGAGGCTCGATGAATTGGCAAAAGGCGTCGCTGCTAAGAAAAAAATGAAATATTGGAGAGTTAAGAGAAGGGAAAGATAGAAGGCGTGAGAACAGAGTAACTGGAAAAACATAGCTGTGCCTTCCAATTAAAGTAACTTTCAGTCAGTTAGAGCCTAAGAAATTTATGGATGGGAAAGTAGCTTTCGCCTTTCCAGCCTCAATTAAATGAAACTCGAGCACGACGGTCACAATACGACGAAGCCCTGTAGACGGATTCGACCCATAATCTCCCTTTTGTTCTTTAATTTTCTTTGAGTTGGGTGCACTATCTCCCTCTGTCGGCTCTGCGTTGGATAAAATGTTAGCAGTTGGAAGATAGGGTTTCGGACAGATAAAAGAAGCTCTCTCCAAAATTTGTGTTTGTGGCTTTGTGCTCCATATCCATTGGACATTTCTTAATTTTTAAGATACTGATGCCTATGCGACGCCGTTTTGCTCAGACAACAGCAAAAACATGAAAAAAAAAAA